TAACATTAGTCGATTGAGTCAATAGCAAAATAAAATAATAATGGTCAATAACCAGCAATTGAATTTAATGATGACATTTTATATATTGGTTTTAGTAAATTTGACAGACTCAAATTTTCTTATCAGATCTGACGATAGCAAATATTTCCATTATGTCGAAAGTCTACGAGATGCACTTGCACTGAGATATGAAAATTTACATAATCTAATAAGCCAGAATTGGCATACAAAAATCAACATAGACCTGGACAGGTCAAAGTTTTTTTCAAAAGATAGTATTTTCTCAGTAAAATAGCAATAAAAACTGAGTCTCGTTTTACAGTATTTGGTATAATTCTCGTTATATAATCATGAGAGCACATTTTTCTCAACAACAAACGTCGAAACTGTGTGTTGGTCAAGAAATATGACTGTTTCATCTTAGTTTAAACCTTTTGAAAGTTATCTAACATAGAATATGTGATTTAGATGTGATACTGTAAACATTTGGTTTGTAATTTTAGCTATAAAACTTATAATCGGTGAGTTTTTGTCATTTCTGCTTTATTCACTGTATTTTAATCAAGATTGACAAATCTGTTAAGAATATATATATATATATATATATATATATATATATATATATATATATATATATATATATATATATATATATATATATATATATATATATATATATATATATTAGTTGATCAAGATAGACAAATCTGTCAAGAATATGTATTAGTTGATCAAGATAGACAACTCTGTTAAGCATAACTTAGTAACACATTTGTATTTTATGTTATTCAAGACTAATATTGGTTTTGTTTTATTATAATGTATTTCGAATTCTCTAAAATGTACCTAACTCTAAAAAAGACTTACACACTGACAGACAGACAGATAAACGGACAGGCACAAATCTAAGTTCTATCAAGGAAATACCACAAAATTCAAAAACTGTAATTGTGACTATAAATATTCTGTCTAAGCACATAAGGTCACAAAGGACGTTATTTTTAGATAACATAACATAACACTAAGTAACACAAGCTATTAATTTTTAGTATATCGCCTAACAACCTATGATGAAATAGAGACTTAATTGGCAAAAATGTTTTGCTTTATAAACACTATATAAACATCTCCAATGCATTTGACAATTGAAATATTTTACAATAAATGCTATTTTACTAAGAAATCCACATTATATTTTATAATTACTATGTTTTTTTTTAATTCTGTATGCAAAAAGTGCCTGTAAGAATTAGATATATAAGGAGTCATGAAGCCGATTGCTAACATGTTGGATCTTCATGCTCAAGGTCCGTAGCTCGATTCTCGTGACTTACTTACGGCGACGGGGGGGGAGCAATATGATGGCAAAATCCAATTTTTAAGTTGGGGCTCCTGTCGGCCTCTCTATGCGTTAATAGAAAATTTGTACGATCCCACCACCATATCAATACGTGGTGGGAGTACTTTTACATCCCTGGGTTGATTATGATGGGGTCGGTGTACTCATTTATGTTGACGTGCAGAGATGGCATGTTTAAGATAAGTTTATATGTAACTGTGCTGTCCTTAATTAAGATATATACATGTTTGTATGTCCGTCTTTAAAGTATGTTGCTAGCATATCATGACAAGCAAGGAGTTCATATGGGAATGTGTTGTGATTATATTTTTGTATTATGATTTACAAATATTTTTTTTATTTGTACTGTTTGATTTATATTAGAAATATTATCAAATAATGTAGCGACCATATTATCAACAAATGTCATTAGATCATCTGCCCAACCCGCTAGTCTCATATCATTTTCAGTCGCGAATATCCATACCGATCCTTTTTTTTGTGTTATATTTATTGTAGCCTACTTTTTTAATACAATCGCTTTTAGATTTACATCAGTACAACCTAATGCTGATTTGATGGGATTAAATCGCTTACAAAATATGTTTGTCAAATCAAATCAAACATGTCGGGTTGAGGTCACTATATATTCTGTTTGGTAAATATGACATTTTGTCTAAAAATAGCAATATTATTTTGGCTAAATCGTATAAGTGAATGTAGAGATAGTTAAGCTGATCCTATCTCAGATACACCCCTACCCCGACAAAACATATTTTGTCATGTCCTATTTTGAGCTTAACAAAAGGCTGCTGACAGAAATGTTAACGTATAATATTTTGGTGGGTAATTGGTATCTGTGAGAGGTTTATCAACTATCTATACTACTTTACCTTGTTACTGGCATATCAGGTGTTGAAGTGTTCATCTTGATTCATATAGCAAAGAAACATTTCAATAAATGTTTATTCGACTATTAATTTCAGACTAAAAAAATAAACATATTTTTCACTGTAACCTTAATCTTTTAAACACTTTACCATAAGCATGATTTTATAAATAAAATACCTAGGCTAGTAATCAGATGTTTGGTGTTCTCATTTCTGTCAACGTTGTTTTTTTTTTCAATGGTCTATTTTTTTAAAATAATTTGTTATGTATATTTAATTGATATTGTCTGCTTATATTTTATTCATAGTTGTAAGTTGTTAAAATAATATTTATATAGACAACTTCTGTCCATGTTTGTAAATTTTAAATAGCATGTTTACGTAGCTAGACCTCAAGGTATGTCTTGTTTATAGTTAGACCAAGATCTTGCGTCGGAAATCACCACATTCTATTTTGTAATAATTCAAATGAAAATGTGCCTAAATATATATATATATATATATATATATATATATATATATATATATATATATATATATATATATATATATATATATATATATATATTTGAAAAACAAATTATTCATTCCTGTTTTAAATAAATCTTTCATATATGCTTAATTTTTCAAGATATTCATTGGAATTACTAAAAATGCACATTTACATTTTTATTAATACATTTGTATTTTCTTTTTGTAAACTCATTCAAAGATATTGTGTTACATCAGGACATTCAAGGGTATCACGTTTGCTAAGCCCCAGCTGTAGGGTCGTTTTTAAATTAGAATATTACTGCTTCCACGTGTTTGACGTCTAAACCTTGCTGTGGGCTAGTGTTAATCTCTTACGCAAGCTTACTGTGACCGCCAGAGGACCAGAAATTTGAGTTGACGTCAGCTACCGCTCTCGTCATTTGACAAGTATTGTAGCCATCACACCGACGTGTTAAAGATTAGTCATAAGATCTGTGGAATCCCGCATGAGGAGCAGGGCATGTTCTCATCCGTCCCTACACTGACAGACAGCGAAAGGGACATTCTCCGATAAGTTTGATTGGATCGGATCACATCAACCAACCATAATATAACAACCAATTCTTCACAACGACTATAAGATTTTATTCAGAACATTCGATAGTTTTGGATTTGAGGTACGAATTTATTGATTATTTGGGATTTAATTCACAATAAAAGCAAGTGTCTCTTGAATTTTCATTTTGTATTTTAAAAAATAAATGACTTGTTGATTGAAATTAATTTTTTTTGTTGCTTTTTTCAGTGAGATATTTCAAGACCTAGAATCCTAAAAACCTTTTTTTTTGTCAATTATAGTTCAAGGTATACAACCTCTCTTCGAGATTTTTACACAAAAAGAAAAATTTAAATACTTTTTTTTTACAATATACATTTTCTCATTCGTTAGCTATCGAAAGGTAAGTAACTATCTAACAGCCTAACATGTTTATAAGAGAATTATCTCCCTTGATCAGTTGCTTGGTGTATTTCGTTGTTATCTGTTTTGTAACCATTTGTTTCGTTTTATTTATTTGCAGCCTTAGTACGCTACAAAAATTGTTTAATACTGGTGTTGTTGTTTACTACTCGAATGTGTCAGAGCAAAAGGTTGTCCTGTGTTAGTGTGCCCTTAATTCGAGTTCGTTATTTTAGTGTTAACATACTCATAGTCAAGATAGTGCGACAATTTGTTTATATTTTGGCTTTTTGTTTTATCATTCCAATCCATATACTTTGATAAATGGGTTGGCATACATACACTACTAAAAGTCAGCTTTAGCACACTGGCCAAGTCCATTTTTTTCTTTCTTTGTATATATATATATATATATATATATATATATATATATATATATATATATATATATATATATATATATATATAGAGAGAGAGAGAGAGAGAGAGAGAGAGAGAGAGAGAGAGAGAGAGAGAGAGAGAGAGAGAGAGAGAGAGAGAGAGAGAGAGTTCATATTACAGTTATTTAAGCAAAATGTAAATTTCAGAACAAGTGGGAATAAGCTTGATTATTATAATATGAGCCCCTGTAGTCTGGAGAGGGGACGGGGATGAAAGAGCGGATAAGTTTGGTTATCATAATACATGCCCCTGTTGTTGGGAAAGGGGACGGGGATACAAGTGCGGATAAATTTGGTTATTATAATATGAGCCCCTGTAGTCTGGAGAGGGGACGGGATGCTAGTGCGGATAAGTTTAATTATTCTAATACGTGCCCATGTAGTCTGGAAAGGGGACGGGGAATGCAAGAGAAGATAAGTTTGATTATCATAATACATGCCCCTGTTGTTGGGAAAGGGGACGAGTTATATAATTGCGGATAAGTTTGGTTATTATAATATAAGCCTCTGTAGTCGGGCAAGGGGACGAGGATGCAAGTGCGAATAAGTTTGGTTATTTTAATTCAACATTAACTTAGTGGGTCTCAGTTTCTTGGAAATATATTTTCAGAAATCGTACAAGTTATGAGTTAGGCACTATTTTTCACAGACTCTCTGCAGAATTGAAATAGTTTTAATTGATTTATGCAGTTAACTAACCTAATCAAGAGAGCAGTTACGCTAAAATAAACACTGGATATTATCATACATCATGTAGCATGGAATTCTTTATATGAAAGGTTTTAAGCTCTTATAAAAGCGAGGGGAAGAAGTAATTATTACTATATGGTCAAATTTACAGTTCAAAAACTGATCTATTGGTCTAACGCTCCAATTTGTGTATTTCATGTGTATAAACAGCCTTTGTAATTCATTGGTATAATCCTTTCCATCTTTTTTGGAAAGTGACCTGAGTTTGATTCCCAGCAGAGGCAGTACTGAAATACACGATTTGGAGTGTTCAAAATATACAACAATATAGAAAAATGTACTTTAAGAAATATTTAGATTTGGAGGCACTTAGAATTCTAAACATTAAAAGAACAATGTCAAAGTAAATATACATGGTTCAAAAGTCATCAACAAATTATGAAATTTACTGCTTATATAGTTATGTTTCATTTTCCTGTTACAATGATTTTCAATGGAACTAACAGTACAGTCAACCCTGCTTTCACTTGAGTTCAGCAGTCACCCGTTTACATTTTGCCTTCTAATTTACCCTACAGCAAATTTCCTATATAAAATGTGATGTAATCGGCGGTAACCTGTCTTCCACGGTAAGCAGCTATGTAATCGATAACCGAGAAGTGATTTCACTCTGTCTTATGCGGTGACTGGTGTGTATCAGCTGTGGCTATTCCAAGTATACCAAGTAAACTTTTTTTTTTTTTTTTGATGTGCAAGCATGGTATTCTACATTAATTACTGTTTCAACGATTCAGATTCCAGTTGTACTTACTGTAATCCAGTGAAACTCAAAGTTATCGGACAAAGCCAAATTGATCAAGCACACGTCGTCTTGGTTATCGTGTGATAAGAACAACTAAACAAAACATTGTTGACTCGATTCTTGAAGAATCTGACTTTCTGGTCGTTGTTCTTAGAATAAGAAATTAAAATGGTGAGTATCAGGTTAAATTTAACCAATGATGTAGTTCCATCTTTTCAGTCAGGGGATTAAAGACATAATTATAATACATATCATTTTCTTATGATTTCATGCAAGTATGACTTGATGTAGCATCATTCAAGTTTGCTAGGCCAATTAAGTATGTGCCGTAGCTTCGCGCTAGAGTTGAATTCCAACTTTTCGATAGGTAATTGACTGACACTACACAACAACATAAATGTTGCAATATCAAAAATGAGGTGGAAAGGGTCAGAGGAAAGACAAACGGTTTAGGTGATACTAACAATAGCCCCAGGAAGCTCTTTTCATTTGATAATCCGGTCACAGACCAGGTGACTCTTTTAGCAACTGCGTAATTGGTCAATCTGTCAACAACTGTTTAATCTGTCAAACTTGTTTTCCTGCCTAATGATACCAACTGCCCAATTAAAATATCAATCATGTCTTTTACAACTACACTTAAACTGCATTTTGGTAAATTTTATTTGGGAGCCATGAAAGTGTTTGCATGTGTGAGAGAGATGAACAAATGAGTGCATGTTCAAAGTTGCTGTTTTCTTTCATTGACTGAGAGTGTATCAGCAACATTAAACGACAGGCAGAGTCTTGTAGTGATGAGTAACACAATGTTCGACCGGAGAGAAGATAACACCTCTTGTCATTGGTAAGTTAAAACAACAACAACAACAGCAACAACAACAACAATAATAATAATAATAATAATAATAATAATAATAATAATAATAATAATAATAATAATAATAATAATAACAATAATAGCAACAACAACAACAACCCAAAATACAAGTGAGGATACAGTATCCTAATGTGGAATTTTTTTTTTATTAAATTTTGTTATTTTATTTTTTGCTTAATAGCTAAATATACATATAATGAAAAGTTAGCACTTAATGGAAGCCCCTCATAACAAATATATGCAGGAAATGAAAATTCGTAGCTAATAAATGATCCTTACAGAACATACACTGACATATATACGGCTAATATATTTTGTAGCGTTTTTTAATTTGTATTTTACTGCTCCGTTTCTAAATAGAGCTTGTTTCTAAGAATTTGTGTGTACTTTCCTTGAGATATTTCCTTATTTTTCATCGTTTTTCACTCCTATTTAGCAAAGCCGAACATTTACGTATCGATGCGACCTCTAATTTAGCATATTAGTTTTGTAATATTTGCATTTAATGTATTTTTAAACTTGGAACACTGACCTCGAAAACTGGGTGACATCCTTGAGGAAGGATAGATCCCCAAAACTGGGTTAGTTTTTATCCATGGTAATATGATAGCCCAAATGTATGGCCCTCTACTATCAACATCCCAAGCTTATGAGTCTGTGAGCCTGATGTAGGTTGGTGTGAACTACTGCATGCACCCGGTTATTAGCTCAAAAAAAACACCAAAAGATGCAATTGGTGCAAGTGTTTGCGACATAATAATGATTGTCATTTTACATGCATTTCAGTCTATTATAGAGGCTTGTTTTATTCTCTGCCAGATATGAACATTTTAAATGGTTCTATGAATAGTCCATATAAATGCTGCTACATCCCACATTGTAATTTGTCGGCCACAAAGAATGATGTACCCGCATTTTATTTTATTTTATTTCAATGAATGTGCATTTTAACAGCAGAAAAGAGTAACATAATAATTTTAGTGCTTCTAAAATGGTAAGAACATGAATGGATGAGAGAAAAAGAAAACGTTTGCTGTGCCACCATTTTTACATATGACTCTCTTCTACTGGAACACTTTTCTACCAAATTTGGTTAACATCTATTGAAGACTGAACTGAAAATTAAACAAATCCAGTTAACGAACTTAATATTTATGCTCCTATTAACAGTAAATTTTGTACATATTTTATTAAATCCTAATCACATGACACTTAACTCATCACGCGCACAAATATATATATATATATATATATATATATATATATATATATATATATATATATATATATATATATATATATATATATAGTTATAGCTATAGTTATATAGTTATATTTGTGCGCGTGATGAGTTTAAGTGTCATATATATATATATATATATATATATATATATATATATATATATATATATATATATATATATATATCAGCCAACGAATGAGATCATACAATGATATGAGGTTTTCAATATTCTCTTCCAGTATATGTAACATTTACCGTATGTACCTGTTTGCAGGGCCATACCAGGCTACCCACACACACACATACACACATATAGACACATAGACTTTTGCATTGTTGACATTTCAAGAAAAATCAGGGCATTTTGACCTTTTGGAACCCACCCCTCAACCCCTAACCTGATTCGGATCTGATTTGTGTTGCAATACCTTTAAAACAAGGCAAAAATTTAGTGTCAAACCGTGTAATAGGAGAAAAACAATGTTCAGCAAAACTCACCAAGGAAAATAATGACTTTGGAATAAATAATAAAGTTTGTGTTCTCCTCTATAATCATTCCTCCAAATTTAGAATATATTCAGCTCTTGCTTGTGCCGGATAAATGCCTAGTGATGTTTTCTATGTGCTACCTACGATAAAATGGGCTGATTTAGACTTTCCATGATACCACGAATCAGAGAGAGAGAGAGAGAGAGAGAGAGAGAGAGAGAGAGAGAGAGAGAGAGAGAGAGAGAGAGAGAGAGAGAGAGAGAGAGAGAGAGAGAGAGAGAGAGAGAGAGAGAGAGAGAGAGAAAGAGAGAGAGAGAGAAGTTCATAGGAGAGTACGAATTTGTTTCTTCTAGTTTTCTAGTGGCAAAGCTGTCAAAATTTAGAAAACTTCTACCGGTTCCCCTTCAGTTCTAAAGGTCGGTTACCTGGATACACGACAAAGGAAAATTGTATTACATGTGTACAAACCTGAAGTTAATTCCAGATTTTTGTATTCACAGTATCTAATAAATATCATTATCTAATGTCATCTGGTAAAATGTCCAAGAATGTCCAAGAATTGATTCTCAATGTCTGAAATCCTCCATCGTTTTTCCAGCAAATCATCGTGGTGTATATTATTATTTTATTCAGATTCCGTGATCCTTAACTGTCCGTTTGGCTTGTGAACAATTACCTGCGAGTTAATTCATTCAGTAAGCTCTTCCACTTTTTTGATTACATCTGCTTTCGAAGTATCGTGGAGTGCAAAGGAACTTTCCTGCAGGTTTCAACAGTTGGTTCTGTATCGTCTCTTAGCTTGATATTAATCTTGTTCGGCAAACATCCATGACCATCAAATAGATCAGAATATTCCTCAAAAATATCCATATTTGGCTTAATGTCAAAGTAAAGTTTGACTAATTTCATTGTATCAAACGTACTACGTCCAAGAATAGGTCTGGTATCACTACGTCCAAGAATAGGTCTGGTATCATTGTCATCACTTATGACGAATTGGGTTGTATAGAGGTAATGTTTGAGTCTTAGCTCTAGCTTACACTGACCTCTTACTGGGATGTCTCCTCCTTGAAATTATTCCAGAATGATGTTACTACGTTGTAACTTGGGTCTGTGCTTTAATCAAATGAATGAACCTTTCTTGTGTTGGTGTGTATTTGGTATTTACCAATTCTATGTCCTGTACCACTTATATGTTCTGAGTTTTGATACTTTGTGCCTTACTGTAGCAAACGTTTTGATAATGATTTCCTCCTCCACATTTTCCACATATTTGACCTCTTGCTGGACAATCCTCCCCTATCACACAATCCAATGTGACTTGTATTGGTGTTTACAACTGACATGTCATACATGTGCTATATAATGACTATAATAATAGCTATTGTATAGTGCATATATGACAGGTAAATTGTACACCAATAATACGAGTCACCGTGATCCAATTCACACTTTGTACAGTAATGAATCTCTTCATTTTTACTGCTTTTTATCTGTTACGTTCCCTCTTTTGAGGTTTAGCTCTCAGCCAATCTGATTAAAATCAGATGTCCTTGATGTTGACAGTAGAGATCTGATTTTAATCAGATTGAGCTCTCTGCTGGTGTCATTTCTTTTTCACTGCAACAACAGATTTTTATAAGGTTTTTCCAAGGTGGTGATTGTTTTCATTCTTATCTATGTAGCTTCATGTTACGGTGCATCTTTCAAGTAACAAATCGTGTTCTCTCAGTAGTCTTACTCTTGCAAAATCATCCCTTCAATAATTCTGTCACGTATTAAACGATCTTTGAGGTTACCAAATCCTCAATCTTTTGCTAGGACTCTGAAATCTGCCAGAAATTGATCAAACCTTTCTCCAGAATTTTGTAAT